ACCAATAGAAAAAACTTTAAAAAAGATTTAATATGAAACACTTGGTTTTTGCTCTTGGTCAGCCGTGGAATGCGTTACCGTCATCAACTATTAAATCGTCTTGGAAAAAGTTATGGCCAGATAGAGTCACCACTCCTAGCAACGTTCCACAAATCAGTGTTACTTCGGAAGTTATAGAACAAGTCGCTACTGAAACACAGATAAGTCCGGAAGATTTGGAAATCTGGTGCCGTTGAATGGATAAAGAGGAAAATGTTTTTCACGAAATGTCTGACGAAGAGATTATAAAAGAGGTTTCTAATTATACAACAAACAATCAGGAAAATAACGACGACGTGATTCCAACTGCTCCACAAGTCACAGCACAAGACGCAATTAACGCCTTTGAGCTAGGTTTACAATGGGCTGAAGAGAATGGTACATCCTACAACGATCTTTTACTTTTGAGAAGACTGAGGGACAAAGCTCTGATCTCGCGTTATAACAACCTTAAACAAAAAAAATTGATGAATATTTCCAAGCTTCATAATTTGATAAATTCATTAATGATTTTGATTAATAATTCTTGATTATTTTGGTACATATGTATGTGCATTTATGCTTAATTTTATAATAAAACGTAAGCTCTCTATTGTTATTTAATTTACTAAATTCGACATCCATAAACTATGTATGATTTGTACTTCAAAGTACATACATATATATAACATATACATATAATCTTACCATTGGATATGTACTTTGTCGGATTACAAGGTACCCTTTTGTAAAAAATTCCCAACTATAGGGGGTCTTAGGCAGTGCTCTATAATCCGACAAATTTGATAGTCCCACACTACCCTGTATAATGTTTGTCGGATTACCGGAGGTCCACTGTATTTGTATTTGTATTTGACAATGCGACACTCTAATTTTAAGTTTCACACTCTCTTTATGTATCGGAAACTAATTATCAAAATTAACTCAAATTTTGCAAGTAAGCTTGCTACAATTCGACATATTATTCTTGTGCGTTTCACTTGTTTCTTCATCGCTAGTTTTCTTTACGAATGTCCCTCGTAATTCGCTTTACTCTCCAAACGATCCGGACAGTGATCACGAAGCATTATTTGCTGTAATATTGTACTTTATCATAATTACGATTAATTTACTTTTTCACTAAATCTGCTACCAGTTACTTTGTAAGATCCTCCACGGTAAAAGGTGAACGTGGAACCGTACATCCTCTATCATATCCGCCTGATCTTCGCGCTGTATTAAAGAAGTACGTTATTAAGTTTCTCGCCTCTGAACCGCTTATAAGGTAATTGCATGATGTATGGGGACGTATAAAATGTGCTGCTAAGTGACAAGGTAAATTATGAGAATGTAGGTGGCCTGCAAATTACAGGTAGGAGAATCTCGTGAATACGACCACTATAGGATGAACGCATATGGACTTCCAGCTTAAATTGACGTATACCTTTATACGGTTTGTCTACTGTTCTACTGTCTACTGTCTGCCAGATGATACTGATTTAGTCAATGAACTGTTGCATTGCTAAGGTCAACTCCAAGCCCAGATGGGCCTTAACTTCCATGTTTTGTTGTACTTAAGACTTGAGTAGAACTTAAGCACAGTTTTTGATTTGATGGAACAACAAATTTCGAAATATGTTTCAAATAAGTCTATTTTATCACAAATTCAATCCTGCTTTCGCAAATCGGATGATACAAGCCCAGCTTTAGTTGGTATGGACGATGATTCAATGCATTCGACAACAGCAAAATCGTATGTTTAGTGTTACTGCCTTTACGGCTGCCTGGCTGTGTGAATATATTGCGAACGTCTGATCTGCAGCCTCATTCCTTATTATCTCTTTTATGCAGACTTCAATCACATGTAATATTGTTGAGATATTACCCCTCAGTTTTTGGCCTTGTCCCATAAATCCCGCCTCCAGTTTCGGGCCGTCTGTGAAGCAGTAGCTTTTGGCATATTTTTTCCCACGCCTTCATTTCTGGTACTATTGTTTGGTAGCTTTTGTCGAAATTGTACGTACGGTCCGTATGCATTACCGATACAGGTCTGCCTTCAAGACCCGGAAAGATATGGAAATGTTTTCGATACCCATCTCCTCCTGCTATCTGAGTTCACCGCCAGGCGTATCGGTCTGCTTGATTGTTCTGCTTGTCTAGTAATAGTTTATTGTCCGAGACTGCGTAATAACCATTTTTTATAAGAAATTGTTTAAGTTTTATTTTAACAAAGCTCGTACCTTTTCATTAGCTGGCAAACTGTTAAAGATTTTTGGCCCTAAATACCTTGGAGACTTCCTGGATACATTGTATTTCACACAAGGTACATATAATGTCTTGTATTTAGGCCATGCACAACTTTATATTTTAAATCGTTTTCTAAATTCACATACGTTAACACATCCAATTCATATATACACACACACACACCAAATAATTGATTTTGTGCTAACAACTTCTCAATATGCTTCAAAATGTCATTAAATTTAATGACCAATACATTAAGGTAAGAATCTGAGATTATAATTGAGGCATCGTCTGAATACAATGTAAAATTTACTTGGCCATTTAACAGTTCAACCATATCATTTATATACAGTATGAATAAAAGAGGTCCGAATATAGATCCTTGGGGAACTCCCATATCAATATCAACGCATGAAGACTGGACTTGCTTCATTTCTGTACCAAAATTGTGGAATAAAGAAAGATATTGTGACCTGTTTTCCGAAAAAAAAATTTGATGCCTGTGAAAATTCGGTAACCATGTAGTTCATTACCTACATGATCTCACTAAGTTCTCACAGCTACGATAGCCCTGTATGCTCTTCACTAGGTATCGAATTCTTATAAATTGAAATAAGATAATCATAATTCGTGTTATGCCGTCAGCTTTATTACCGCAATTAGGCGATACGCGTAGCGGAGATAATAATGGCACAAAGGTACGATCTATAATTACATCGAGAAATACGTCCATAAATCCAACTTCCAGAATGAGAGTATAGTCGAACATATTGCTGGTTTTCAATAACCATAAATGCAATTAGAATCGTAAACGAGATCATTAACATAAATCATAATACGCAGTCAGCGTGGCTGGCTGGCGGCTTTCCGGTGTCATTACGTTAGGCTATGATCATGATGAGTCCCAAGTAAGGATTAGGATGCCGTGATGTACATTCAAATTGGGAAGATGTAGATCGAATATGGAAGCTTTGTAGTGGGAATCTTTGTTGGTATTATTTCTTTCTTTAACTCTTTGAGTCTCTTTGGTCTCATTCTATCTCTTTCTTTAACTTTTTGAGTCTCTTTGGTCTCCTGTTATTTCTTTCTTTAACTCTTTGAGTTTATTTGGTGTCCTGTTATTTCTTTCTTTAACTCTTTGAGTCTCTTTGGTCTCCTGTTATTTCTTTCTTTAACTCTTTGAGTCTCTTTGGTCTCCTGTTCTTCTTTCTTTCTTTAACTCTTTGAGTCTCTTTGGTCTCCTGTTATTTCTTTCTTTAACCCTTTGAGTGTCTTTGGTCTCGAGTTATTTCTTTCTTTAACTCTTTGAGTCTCTTTGGTCTCCTTTTATTAGTTTCTTTAACCCTTTGAGTCTCTTTCGTCTCCTGTTATTTCTTTCTTTAACCCTTTGAGTGTCTTTGGACTCCTGTTATTTCTTTCTTTAACTCTTTGAGTCTCTTTGGTCTCCTTTTATTTCTTTCTTTAACCCTTTGAGTCTCTTTAGTCTCCTGTTATTTCTTTCTTTAACTCTTTGAGTGTCTTTGGTCTCCTGTTATTTCTTTCTTTAACTCTTTGAGTCTCTTTGGTCTCCTGTTATTTCTTTCTTTAACTCTTTGAGTCTCTTTGGTCTCCTGTTATTTCTTTCTTTAACTCTTTGAGTCTCTTTGGTCTCCTGTTATTTTTTTATTTAACTCTTTGAGTCTCTTTGGTCTCCTGTTATTTCTTTCTTCAACTCTTTGAGTCTCTTTGGTCTCCTTTTATTAGTTTCTTTGACCCTTTGAGTCTCTTTGGTCTCCTGTTATTTCTTTCTTTAACTCTTTGAGTCTCTTTGGTCTCCTGTTATTTCTTTCTTTAACTCTTTGAGTCTCTTTGGTCTCCTGTTCTTCTTTCTTTCTTTAACTCTTTGAGTCTCTTTGGTCTCCTGTTATTTCTTTCTTTAACCCTTTGAGTGTCTTTGGTCTCGAGTTATTTCTTTCTTTAACTCTTTGAGTCTCTTTGGTCTCCTTTTATTAGTTTCTTTAACCCTTTGAGTCTCTTTCGTCTCCTGTTATTTCTTTCTTTAACCCTTTGAGTGTCTTTGGACTCCTGTTATTTCTTTCTTTAACTCTTTGAGTCTCTTTGGTCTCCTTTTATTTCTTTCTTTAACCCTTTGAGTCTCTTTAGTCTCCTGTTATTTCTTTCTTTAACTCTTTGAGTGTCTTTGGTCTCCTGTTATTTCTTTCTTTAACTCTTTGAGTCTCTTTGGTCTCCTGTTATTTCTTTCTTTAACTCTTTGAGTCTCTTTGGTCTCCTGTTATTTCTTTCTTTAACTCTTTGAGTCTCTTTGGTCTCCTGTTATTTTTTTATTTAACTCTTTGAGTCTCTTTGGTCTCCTGTTATTTCTTTCTTCAACTCTTTGAGTCTCTTTGGTCTCCTTTTATTAGTTTCTTTGACCCTTTGAGTCTCTTTGGTCTCCTGTTATTTCTTTCTTTAACTCTTTGAGTCTCTTTGGTCTCCTGTTATTTCTTTCTTTAACTCTTTCAGTCTCTTTGAACTCCTGTTATTTCTTTCTTTAACTCTTTGAGTCTCTTTGGTCTCCTGTTATTTCTTTCTTTAACTCTTTGAGTCTCTTTGGTCTCCTGTTATGTCTTTCTTTAACTCTTTCAGTCTCTTTGGTCTCCTGTTATTTCTTTCTTTAACTCTTTCAGTCTCTTTGGTCTCCTGTTATTTCTTTCTTTAACTCTTTGAGTCTCTTTGGTCTCCTGTTATTTCTTTCTTTAACTCTTTGAGTCTCTTTGGTCTACTGTTATTTCTTTCTTCAACTCTTTGGGTTTCTTTGGTCTCATGTTATTTCTTTCTTTAACTCTTGAGTCTCTTTGGTCTCCTGTTATTTCTTTCTTTAACTCTTTGACTCTCTTTGGTCTCCTGTTATTTCTTTTTTTAACTCCTTGACTCTCTTTGGTCTCCTGTTATTCCTTTCTTTAACTCTTTGAGTCTCTTTGGTCTCCTGTTATTTCTTTCTTTAACTCTTTGAGTCTCTTTGGTCTCCTGTTATTTTTTTCTTTAACTCTTTGAGTCTATTTGGTCTCCTGTTATTTCATTCTTTAACTCTTTGAGTCTCTTTGGTCTCCTGTTATTTCTTTCTTTAACTCTTTGAGTCTCTTTGGTCTACTGTTATTTCTTTCTTCAACTCTTTGGGTTTCTTTGGTCTCATGTTATTTCTTTCTTTAACTCTTTGAGTCTCTTTGGTCCTGTGTTATTTCTTTCTTTAACTCTTTGAGTCTCTTTGGTCTCCTGTTATTTCTTTCTTTAACCCCTTGAGTCTCTTTGGTCTCCTGTTATTTATTTCTTTAACTCTTTGAGTCTCTTTGGTCTCCTGTTATTTCTTTCTCTAACTCTTTCAGTCTCTTTGTTCTCCTGTTATTTCTTCCTTTAACTCTTCGAGTCTCTTTGGTCTCCTGTTATTTCTTTCTTTAACTCTTTGAGTCTCTTTGGTCTCCTGTTATTTCTTTCTTTAACTCTTTGAGTCTCTTTGGTCTCCTGTTATTTCTTTCTTTAACTCTTTCAGTCTCTTTGAACTCCTGTTATTTCTTTCTTTAACTCTTTGAGTCTCCTTGGTCTCCTGTTATTTATTTCTTTAACTCTTTGAGTCTCTTTGGTCTCCTGGTACGACCACCAGTTCGTTGTCCATTTACTTGCAACCAAGGGGTCAATTTTTAAATTCCCTTCCGGAAGAAAAGAGACTGATAATATTAAAATACCCCCAAGGACTTTCCTAGAGGAACGCCTGACACTAGTAGATAGATATGATGACACAAAATAATTACGTTTTCGCTTACTCCAGTTGAAATGTTTTATCACACCTTGCCAGAATTACATTGAAATCTGAAAGCTAGGGAACTGAAGTGTTCTACTTTGTCTCATATACAAATATTCAGGCCAATGTAATCATCAATGGAAAATAGCAGCGTTTGCGACTTCACAATAGAATATAGATATAAATCATTGCTTAAATCATGCAGTGCCATTCGAACTACAAACTTAATTACTATGAAACGAGAGTACTGTTATGGGTGACGTGAAAGTGTATACACAACACGCCTTCGGCTGATGCACTATTACATGAAGGGAGGACATTAAGTTGGTTTTATCTATTGTTCTGTCATTTTTATGCAACATGTACTCAAGACGTGAACAAATAAACAGTTGTCTGTAGAGATGGAGCTTTTATGATCGATGGGTTGGGGTGGTTCTGATGTCACTTTACAAGAAAAAAATATAAAGTTCAATTCAGAAAAACCTGTATCTTGGAGATATCGTATTGTTAACTGACACATGTCTATGATGGGATTTTTGTAATATTCAAGCCTTTGATGAAGATGCATTCTAACCAATCCGATCTATTTTCTTTGCTTTGCTGCTTTACTTAGTGTCTACCTCTCTTCTTTTCTTTGTATTTATTTAACTTCATCAGATAACACGCATTCATAGGTTCTTTCTTCCACCAACTTGAATTCAAACGAGCAGCATGTGCTGAAATAATTTTTTGTATGTCTAGTTTAGGCAATATGGTGAGTTTGATATGATATGTAATTATTTTGCTTCATTTGCTTTTACACTGCAAATATCTGTTCTGGCTTGCTCTTCATTGTTTCAGGATTTTTTTGAAGAGATGATCATCGAATGGGAGTTGCAAGTATTTTAATCATCCTCCATAATTTTGCTTAACTTGTGGTACAAATTAACTTTTAGGGTGTTTTTGCCTCTACACATACGAGATATTGTCCGTATTTCGTTTTAAGCAATTATGTGGCTGCTAATGATATTCCACATGCTTTTTTAAGAATTGGATATTTTTAATAACCATTATTTTATATCATTCTTTCTGCTGCCTCGAGATTTTGTTTTGTCAAAAGCATTTCTTAATATCTTCAATTTGATTAATCACTATTGCAACCTTGAAAAATGTATGTTCATTTCTTTAATACAGATGTATATGACCATCACTATTTTTTATGAGTCAGGTATTTGTTCCTTGAGATGATTGCTATTCCTGCATTCTTTATTTGTCATCCTTAAACAACACTGGTTTGTTATTCGACAAAAACTGGTTGATTAGTTACTAACACAACCCAAATTTTGAAGAAAACACTCGAACTCTGGACAAATAGTTGCTGGAGAAAGAACGTTCAAATAACTTTAGAAGCCGGTGTTCCAAGTGTAAGATTTCCCGTACCTTCTGTGTGTGCTTCCTGCTTCAAGCTACCATGTCCGTTCCACCTAACGAACATTACGCGGCTTCGCTAATTACAATTTTTAATTAGTAGACATATGCGTGCAGACGTTTAACTCACGTTATTCTCTGCGCGCATCCGCCTTCTTCCTGCTTAAGCAGTCCGTACACTAAGGGAAAACGTGGATACTAGACCCAAGAGCACATCGCCTCATATACTGTCATGCTTAAAATTACGTGATTAAACAATGTTACCTGTAAGTGATGTTCGATTTTATGTTCCGGCCTCGTCTCGTAAATAGAACAGCTGTAGTACCCCGTTTTCCGGCCAAACCCACGAGTTTTCTTCAAGGCCAAGTCGTTGCAACAAGTGGATGATACATAGAGAGCGAGGGAGCTATTTACTTCGACGAGGTCGAACATCGCTTACAGGTAACCTTCGCTCCGGTTGTCTCATATTTGTGTTCAGCGATTGTTCGTGTGAGGAGCTGTTCCTTTGTCGTTTCTTATGTTTAGGCACCTCCACACTGCTTAAATCGTAAAAATCGGTGCTCGAACTCGAGCACTATGTTTAACGCGTGTCATAAGAACAAGGAATCAGAGTTTTTAGGCCAGGAGCCGGAGAGGAGGACGGTGGGGGGGAACGGGGTACCACACCTGTTTTATTTACGAGACGAGGCCGGAACATAATTCGATATTAAAAGCTATACTTTACTTAAAGTCTTGTGTGAATATCTTGCACGGTTTGAGCGTATTTGACATTTTTATTTGAAATATTTCGCTAACAAAAGTGGACTGGAAGCTATTAGCCCAGGTGTTAGAAGATGCCGCCTCGAGTTGTGTTAAGTGATAAGTAATCGAATATCGTAACACCATTTTTGATAAAGTACAAGTATCTTAGACCAGAGGAGCTCCCAGGATTTCAGTCTGGGGAGGGTGAAGTGGTAACGTGACCTCGCCAAATTTTGGTTAACAAAAAAATGCGTCAAGTAGATTGACTCTAAACTTCCTACGCCTTCATCGGAGGTTTCCAAGCATTGCCTGAAAATGAGCAGACATCTCTGAAACTTTGTTACACTATGTTCCAGCGAATTTATTTCTTAATAAATTTTTGACCACTGAAAACTGAATACTTTATATAACAAGAAATAACATATTTAACGGTGATCGATCTGCAAGCTGTACAGTGTGTGGACGGTTTAAGCGTCACCCGGGATCGAATTCGATACGATCCAGTGAATGTTTATTATCTTAGCTGTTAGGGAAGGGTGAAATTCTAGACGCGTAAGGAACGTCTTGTGATATTTTGGTTTATTTGACAGGCAGTGTACTTAATAAGCTATCAAAGCCTCTTTGATCTTTCCGTTTATGCCGTTTTAATTTTGACGCTCGTTAGTCGTACCAACACGCGGAAGAGTCTCATGATCCGTTGGTTGACCAATAGCAAAGATACGGTGCTGCGAACTTGGAAAGCTAAAACATCAAAGCTACCCACTACTAAAAAAGACCTATACCGTGTGAGTCTTCATAAAGTGCACATATCAAAATCAGGGAAACTACACTCTATTTCATCGACGGATAAATCATCAAAAAAACATGAATTTGATTTTTTATGAATATATGAATATTTTAAAATTTTTGGTAGCAGCTTCTAACCATATTGAAATAACTCGTTACAACTTTTAAACTAAATGTCCTATCATATTGGAATACATTTTGTAGTGATTGCTGGTAAAAGGACGAGCCTGAAAAGTGAAGAATTCCAGGAAAAGTAATGACATCCATTTAGAACAAAGAAAATTTTGATGAAAATCTGTTTTTTTTTTCATCATTTTTACAATAATTTCAATTTTTCTATAAATATCGTCCCTTGTACCCTACCTTTTTTTATTTGTAAGTTATTCTACATGTTATCAGCTTTATAAAAGTAAAAATTGCACGGTTATTACTCAAACATTTTCTATGAGTGTTTATAAAAAAGCCCATGCGCATCGTCTTGCCAGGCACCATTGTTTATCATGTAGATACCTTTTTTTGGTGATTCAATGTAGAGTCACGCGGGCTGAAGTACGAGTGGGGAGGCGGGCCCAGTTGAAAAACAATTGAATGTTGGGCAGTTAGGCAGCTATTTGTGTTGTGTTGTGCTAGAGCTGCTTGCACAGCTTATCTAGCTGCATTTCCAAATCGACGCCCTGTTCCATCATCCCGTAACTTCCAAGAAGTACATAGAAGACTGGCTAACACTGGACTTGGTTTGCCTCGAGATCGCCGCGAACCAGGTGTTATTATTCATGTTGCTATCGAAGAAGCCATTTTGGATGATTTGTTTGCTGACCCGACTACTAGTACGAGACGTTTGGCGTTACGTCATGGCGTATTCCAGAAATCGGTTTGGCGCATCTTGAGGAAAGCAGGGTTGCATCCATACCATTATCAAAGGGTGCAGCACTTGCATGAAGATGTGGATTGGCGTCCAAGATGTGTTATGTCTACATGTATTTTAATAAAAACAAGAGACAATCCTGAATTCCCGAAAACAATTCTGTGGACAGATGAATCTCAATTCACGAGAGACGGCATCGTGAACTGTCGTAATTTACATAAGCGGTGCCCAAAAGATGAAAACCCTAGGGTGAAAATGGCTTCAACATTTCAAGTGAAATTTTCTGTAAATGTGTGGGCCGCACTGATTGACAACTTTTTGATTGGTCCAATAATACTCCCGAGGACATT